CACCTGCTTCTTTCTATTACACCTTGGCCAATCGTGTGCAGTCTTAGTAAATTCTGTAACAGACCCCAGGGCAATGTGGGAGCAATAATGAAACATCATTATGTTTTCTGGGAGCAACTGCAAAAGCTGATTGTGAGATTGGAGGCTCACTTCAGCTATAGGTTATTGCTCACATATTTCAGCCAGGTGATAGCAGGAAAAATAACTAAGCTGAAAAATAGATAAACGCTGATTTCATTGATATGCTTCAGGAACAGATTTCTGAGAGCATCTAATCAGAAGAATGTTGTTTTTTTTTTTTTTTTTTTCTTTTTTCCCCTAATAATATTTTCTTTCTTCTCTTAAGTACTTAATTATATCATCTAAATCAGAGAAAAATCTATGGTGATTGGTAGGCTCAAACCCTCAGCCTCTGCTAAACTAGTCCAGTGTGTTGTTACATCTTCTGTTACTTTAAAACAGGCACAAAACGACATAAAAAGTTCAGTAAAATAAAGGATTTGAGGCGAGGCTGTATTTTACTTGGTGTCCACTTTTACTTCAGATAAAATTAATAACCAAGCTGTTGCTAGCTCTGAAGAACTGGTATTCAGAGAAGCAGTAAAGAGCACTCAGGGCCTCAAGGCTAGAAGTTGCAGTTTAAGGAAAGTTTGTTTGGAGAGGTTGGAGAAGGTCTTGAATATCACAGTTTGAAACAGACAAATAGAACAATAGTGCTAGAAAGGGCCAAGAGATCAGATAATCCATTCTGCTTTTCCGACGCAGGAACTGAGAGACTTGAACTATTCCTGGTAGTGTGGAGGAAAAAAATAGAGGTAGACAGCAAAAGTATCTGAAAAAGTGACTGCTGTAGAGGAGCATTTCGGTATAGTTTCCTTTTTTTCTGAATCAGGTTTATTTGAGGTCATATATATAAAGCTTTGTGTAACAGATGCTATTGTACAATAGCAGGTGTAGGCTGTTCTCCTGCAAAATCTCTTGCTTTTTATGAGCAAATTTGTAAATTGCACATTCACACAGGAAGTTAAACACACAGTGAAGTCTATTTGTTGTCTCAAAGGTGGGGTTTTGCAGGCAGCCACAGATCTGAAAAATGCTGTTGCCAGTGAAATGGAAAAAACCCAACACATTTAAGCTAAATAAAGGAAACACACTGATGAAACACAATTAACTTGTTGCTCCTGTTATCATAGTGCATTGGTGAGGACATTTATTTAGTGAGCTGATTCTTGCAGTGGATAAGCTTTTGCTAATGCGAATAGTATGGACATGCATAGAGAATAATCATTTCCGTCTTTGGAAGTAATTAATAAATAACTAGTTCATTTACAGGGATAAGCATAGTAGCACTAGTTACATCAGCAGTAGGAGAGGATCACATGACAACCTGTTGCTCAATTCAATCTGTTAAAAGTGTTTTGTACTTTCTACTACATTTGAATACTTGGACCACATTTAAATGGAAAGATTGCCTTGCAGACCCTTCTCCTTTTGTTCTTGGATGCACCCACTCAAAAATTTTCACCTCACCCATGCAACAAGCAGCTTGCAAACACTGCTGATTTTTCCAGCCCTGATTGCGTATTATCCCCATGGCAAATACAATTGCCTAATAGAAACAAACATTAAGAAAGTATTTAACGTATTGCTTGTCCTCTAATAATAAAATGCAACAGCTGAAAACAAAGAGGAGAACTGTCACCCGGAACAGCTAGTTCTAAGCACCCAACATTTTGGGAGGGGCTCCAGTAACATGCCCAGTGCATTCTGAAATAGGCTCCCAGGCAAAATGGGACCGTGGTTTTTGGAAAGGTAAATCTGAACCCCTCTTGAATCTTAAGAGAAACATTATCACACCTGTATTACAAATTCTTACAAACTGTTCCTCTTACAATGATTTCCAGATTACACAAAGATTAACACAAAGAGCTCTAAATTCCAATTTAGGATGATCTTTGAGAACTTGATCCTGCAATTAAACTTTTTCTGAAAGACATTAAATGTCCTTTAACACCTTCATGTGCATATAGTACAAATGAATGACATAGATCCCCTTCAAAGAAGCTCAGCACTGTTTAGGACTGAGCATATATTCTATAAATTAAATCTCTCAGCTTATTCAGCAAAGCTGTGCCAAGGTCCTTAGAAGAAGCCAGTGATAACAGCCTTCAGTGAAATGAAATAATTGCAGCACTTGAGCACCCTGAAGACTTGGAAACAATCTTGGTAACCACATCCCAGTAGGTGGTGAAGTATACACAATCACAGCAAGTGGAGGGGATTAGAGTAAAATTTCAGATTTTTCAGACAAACACAGCATTTTTTGTGTCTCAGGTTTCCTTTGCCTGACTCAAAATACTTATGTCCTGGTTATTTTACAAGTCTCACGAATGTGAATGTACAAAGGTACTTTCAGGTATCAAAGAAGGTAAAAAGAAGACCAGAGGAGGAAGAAAAATTGAAGAGGGAACTAATTACGCCAGCTTTGCTAGGTTCCATGGATACTCAATCTTATTTATAGTAGTGGACTCCTTTAGAATTTCATATAATACATGAGAAAAAGAAGCCTTCTTTATATGACTGGAATGATGACATAGGGTGTCACAATACTGTAGAAAGTATTATAGGCCATGATTTTGTCTCATTTTTATGTAGCCATCTGAAAGTTGCCCTGTCTACAAGAGAAGCAACTCCTGAGTGCAAGCCATATCACAGCTTGAGACAATGATCTTCGCAGAAGATTGTGCTAAGTTCAACTCCCAGCTTTGTAGAACAAGACTTGTTGGATGTCTGGCTTTTAGGCAGTCTCAAGTAATATGAAGTCCACCCATAATATACATGAATATGCATATTTTTGCCTTTGTAAAAGGCTAGAAGAGAGGACCTAGAGAGGACCTAGGAATCCACCAGGACCAGATGCTGACAAATAAAATAAAATAAAACAAAATAAAATAATAAAATCTGAAACCCTTTGGTCTAACTTACACATTAACTTACACATTCTTTTTTTGTACATAAATGAAGCCCTGATAATTAGCCAAGCCATCTTTCTTTGTGCCTTAGTTGTTTTTTTCCTGCAGTTTTTAGATCATTACTGGCCATTAACTCCTGAAATATCAGAGAGAATGTTAAAAAATATCTATTACTTCTCTAAAAGGAAAAGAATGTTATGAAAACAAACTGCGGCTTTTTAGGACTTTTTGCAATTTCCTGAGGCTTTTTCTTGAACTGGGGAACATCAAGTCCTCTCTCTCCAGCAATTCGTGGGAACAGTAGACTGTGCGCGAGAGGTTGGTTAGTTTAAGCGTCTATTAGAGAGGGAGAGACAGATTAATACAATTGTCTGGTTTCAAAATGTCTTTCGAAAGAACGTTGCTGTCTCTAAAGTATATCCTGGATTTGAAGCATGCATTGTCAGCCAGTGTTGACATAGATAAGTTTGAAATGCCATCAGGAAAAGACTACAGTCACTATATTAGAGGCTTGTTTACCACTGTCTTGGGAGAATGGCTTTTCTCACCAAGAAACAAGGTCTCCCTCTAAAAAGAAATTCATATCCTATATGAGGATTTTTTTTTTCTTTTTCTTTTTTTTTTTCCCCTTTCCTATTATCTCTGTTCCAGTCATTAGAGGACCGTGCCATCAAACTCAGGGCAAGGGCATGATAATCATGGATAACGGTGGTAAGAATCAGTTGTCAGCCAAACAGATGTTTTGGCTACCAAGTAGTGACTGCTTTTTTTTTTTTTTTTTTAGCAACAGCAAAGTAATACTATTGTGTATTGGGATCATGATTTGCTTTACCCAGATGCTCGTGCCATGTTGCACTGTTACATTGCCAATTATTCCACAATTTTTAATGGCATATTAAATTTTTTCTTGCACAGGTAAAATTTCACATTTGTGTTTGCTGAATCTCACTGTATTGATTCCTGACACTTCTTCCAATAGCTCAAGATCAGGCTGAATTAAAATCTTTTACTCCAGAACACTGAAGTCCCCTTGTTGTGATCTGATTTTAAAATGTTCTAAGTACACTGTATATTCTATTATCCTAATAATTAAGGAAAAGTTTAAAACAGATGCTACCCCAAAAAACTGCTGTGCAACTCAGCTGGTATGATTTCTCTTTTTCATGGAAAACTATTGAGAAATACATTTTCATCCATTTTTGCACTCATAATAGCTTCATTTTCCAGTGCTTCACTAGCTTGTTTATATGAATGTTACATTCAATTGTGCAAAGTCATGCTATAGCACATCTACTGCTTCCCCTTTATTCTTTAAAAAAGAAGAAATTAAATTAATGTGGCATGACTTTACTCTTGACAAAAACATGTGGACTCCTTATTATCTTGCTCTTGGCTGAATGCTCTAAGATTGATCAAACAGCAAAAATTCAAATAAGAAATTAGTAACCAACTGGGAGTTGAAGCTCACCTAGTCTTTAATTTTTCTGCTCCTTTCTTTTTCCTTTAAGTAGGGAAGAAGGAAAGAAAAAGAAGAAGAAGAAAAAAAAAAAAAAAAAAAAAAAAAAAAACAGGAAAAGAAGCTGTCCTTCTCAAATCCTTTGAGACTTGTTTTCCATGATCCATGAGTTCTTAATGATAATCATTTAATGGTTAAGATTGTTTCAACTATTTCCTTCAATACTCCAGGGTAAATTTCCTTACAGCTTGCTAATTTGAATATATCTAGCCCAGCTGAACGTATTTAACCTATTCTTTTACTCTCAATACTCCAGTTTGTTGCTAGTTTTAATTGTTCTATGCATCTGTTAGGAATTAACCTTCTACTGTGAAAACTTAAGCAAAGAATACGTTGAACAATTATTCTTTTTCATTGTCTTCTGTCATTTCCACTTCTTGGTAATATTGTCCTATCAAAGTCAGCTCCAGTGATACACTCTAAACCATTACCCAGATGCACTACATTGGTTAGAGAATGTATCATTAGATAGTTTCACCTTGGTTTAATGTTTATTGAACAACTACACTGACCTGAGGTAATCTAGAGTAGTGCTTCTTCACATGTTGTCTAGCCACTCTTGCTCTTCTATGAGACATGAGACAGCAGCACACAAAACCACTAGGAAAAAAAAAAAAAAAAGTGGCTCACTTGCAAGCAAACACACAGTTGGGGAAATGGAGTTTTAAAGTAACAGTCCTAACTTAGTTTTCTTGTATGTAATTTAAAATATTTCTGGTGGTGCTTTATAAGATGGCCAGTGGAGCTTTCCTCTGAAAATTTGGAGTAATACTGCTGAATGTACTGTAGCAGGCAATTGACAATGAGTCTTAGTATGTAACTGGCTTTCTGCATGATCTCAGGCTAATCACTTACCTCCAAGCCCAATGCACCAGCTTCCCCCAATCAGTAAAACGAACCTTGCTAGTACTGATTGTTGTAAGGCATTTTAAGCTGTTTGTAGAAAGACCACTCCTGAACAAATGTTCTGTATTGGATTGGTCATGCATACTGTTGCAAAACCTGAGAGCCGAGAATGGTCTGAATATAGCAACTTGTTTTCTTTGGTAAAGGTGCAATTTGGAGACTGAGATTTTATCTTTGAAACCACATTTGAAAGACATATTAAATGCCCAATAAAACATGTTGGATTCTTAATCCATTGTGCAATTACTCATTTCAAATTATAGAAGAAGCATTAAAACGCAGCTGGGGTAATTTCTAAGAAAATCAGAAGATATAATCATACAACAACATTCTTGTGCCCTGCGGTCCTAACATATGCAAAATGCCTACTGTGCTTGAGGAGGTCTTCTGTGTGTGAGCATTGTAGAATTGGATTTTGAATAAGAAGTTCTTTACCATGCAGCTATCCAAGTGAAGTTTTCTTCCTCTGGACGTCAAGCAGAACGTACCCACTGTCTCTGATTTAAGACTTACCAAGCATGCCAAGAATATATTAGCTTACTCTTGGCAGTGGGAATTGCATTTGTGTAACAACAAGCTTTAAAACTCTGTTAAGAAACATTGTCTGATCTGTAACATGGGACCCATTCATTTTGTTGTTGTTGTCATTTTACTGAAAAGAAAAAATAGTTCACAAGACATATTTCCAAAAATCTGTAGGGTACTTTGGAATGCCCCCCCCCCCCCCCCCCCCCCTTTTTTTTAATTAAAAACAACAACAACAAAACAACAGATTGGGTAACGGCTCCATCCACTACTTATTTAAGGCTTGTTTATAATGTAAAGGAGAATGTTTGTTGTGTCTCCTAGACACGCTACTGTCCCTACACTATCTCACAATGTGAATTGCTCAAGAATTTCAAAACCACTGCCTAAAGTTAGGCTCTTAAACCTATATATAAGTATTTAGAGTCAAGTTGCTTGTTGCTCAGTATTTCTGAATTCCAGACCTTGTATTTATTTGAGTAAATACAGAGCAGAGATGGAGAAAGATCAGGAATGGGACAAGGAAAGGCCAATGAGCTAAAGCACTCACCTGTAATGCAAGGAACCAATGTTTCAAATCCCTGCACTACTCTCCAGATGAGTGCTGTAATTTTCAATGTTTATTTATTTATGCAAAGTAGAAGAGATCCATCAGGAAAAAAAAATAGAGAACCTTACTGCAATGGCTAAGATCCCTGCCAGAGCTGAGGAAAACTAGATTGCAGTACGATGGCACGAGAAGTCTGAACCTGGGTTTTCACTCATGCCAGGCAACTGTCCACATAGGGAAATATTTCTAGATCAAGGGCTTTTTTTGATATAGTCATGGAATTTGTGAACAGTCTCATATTTGTTCTAGTGCAGACCAGAAGTTCACTTTGTAGCTACATTTATATTTGCTTATGCAGAAATGCACTTCTTGCTTTCTGCCCCACTGTGATCATTTTTTTGACATCTTGATCACGCATTCATGCTCAGCAGGAAAACTGCCTGTAAGTAAGTTCTCAGTTTTCTCACATTCAGAGCTGTTGGAGAGGTTTGCTGCCTTATGGAATTGGCAAGATGCTCCTTCCTGAGATGCCTTAAGGTTGCCATTGACCTCAGGATAGCTGCAGAAGGCAGGAACAGCTGGGTCTGCATAGCTCCCATCCCCTGGCACAATGGTTTCTGGGGAAGGAAATACTATTATAATTTGTATCCTCAGCCCCTTGGCTGCTAACCAAACTATCATAACTCTAAGCAAGACAGACACTCACACCCAGCAAGGGCACAGGCCGGATGCAGGGAACAGGAACTGGGGACAATGGGAAGAATCTGGGGTGCAGCAGCAGCCACAACAGCCACAAGCTGTCCTCTAGTTAGCACTTAGAGTCAGCTCCTTGTGCAGCTACTTCGTTAAGAAAAGATACGAACTAGGAAAAGCAGTTGGACACACTCCTTTGTACAATAAACTCATCTCTCTCCCTCTTTTCTGATTAATGCCAACAACTGAATCTTCATATTCCTGCAAGTGGAGGTTAGGGGATCTTTACTGGTACAGAAGGAGATGTGTCAGTCACTGAAAAACAACCAATTCACCCAAGCTAGAGATGGCAGAGTGCTGGCAAGAGATTCACATTGTGCTTATTATGGACCATGGATGTATTGCTTCAGAATGGGTAGTAGTGACACTGACTGTCCATTTTTGCTATTTTTAAGGTCTATTTTATTATTTTTTAAATCTTTGTATTAACTTGTCTTTGTAAGTGTCTTTTCTGCATATTTGGGACAGATATTCCCAGTCTTTCATTTGGGATCGAATCCTGTTCACTTTGGGCCCACACAGTACTTAGTACCCAAACTCCTCACATTTGACCGTATAGTGAGGAGTACCATTTGTGAGCAATTTGACTGTCTGCAGTGGGTTGTGGTTCAGTTTAGGAGGCAGTGTACACAATACCAAAGAGCAACATGGATTCTAAAGAATGCTTCTGCTGCAACTCTTGTGAAGGTTTGCTCTGTAGGCCTACTCTGTCCTGCTGGCACGGTAAGTATTGCTTCATGAATTACTGAAGAGTGACTGGTAATGGTCAAGGACCTGAAACTCATTCATTACTGTATTTCATTCTCTGGAGGCTGATTCTACAAGTAGTCCTAGTTGAAAGGTGATTTCACTAGGATTGTGCGCCGGCAGAAACACTTTTGTAAACAGAAATGTAGTAGAACAGAGTAGAGACAGGAATATTCAAACAAGTTTTACACCTGGCGTTCTTTTGTATTGCTTCTTCTCCTTTGCTAGCAGATACTTTCCAGTGCTCAGGAGAGCTGATCTGGATGAAAATGCAAAATGGGATGTGAGATGAGGAAACATCCAAAGGAGACTGAAGATGTGATTATAATAGTGAACTATGCCCAGTTCTTAAGCACTGAAGCCAACTGGCATAGAACAACCCATGTCCCTTCTACTAAGCTCCAATGCTTGTCTGATTGAGAGCTGCTAGAATCTAAACCATAAGCACTTAGCTCATATCATATATAATACAAATGTGATTTTTCTCCAAACAAGACCAACTACTACATTCTAGACTTGGTCACAGTTTTGGAGATTTTTCCTTGGATTCAGAAGGTTTTGGACCAAACTCTATATAAGTTGGTTAATTACATTCCAGGCTTCATATTGCTTAACGTATACAGCTTTACTATGTACAAACAGAAAATTCACTGAAGAGTGAACATCTATGAAAGATTACCTATAAACATTGTAAGTGGGTACTTTACAGCCCATTCTTTCCTTTCCCATCATATATGTATTAAGTTGTATAATCTCCTGTAATGACAATTTAGTGAGGTAGTACAAGGTAGAAATACATTGCACTTATATGGCACCTTGCAGGTATGTGCCTAACAATCTTCCACAAAGAGCGAATTAAAGGTTGTGTTTATGGGCATCAAAAAATAGCTCACATCAGAAAACAGTCACTTTATGAGTACAAGATTTTTATTGCTGGGTGCCAAAATTACCCCCTTAAGAACTTAGACTATCCAAATAACTCCTACATACCACCTTTGTACCTCTGTCTTGTTTTCAAAATCTGTATTTGAGTATGATTTCATCCACTGTGGTTTCATTTTGGTATAATGCCATTGCCTTTAACAATATTATACTAACTTTGAACTATACTTGCAAGCAGACTCTGGACCTTTGCAATTGTAATTGCAGTTATCACCTCTTGTAGAGTTCAGGCAGTAATGAAGGTAGAGAACTCCCAGTGACTGAATTTCCATTATCCTTTTAAATTTACATTTTTATTTAAATAGGAGCTGCATGATCAAAAATATATTCATTTACTAAGCATTTAGTCTGTTTAAATTTTAATATTTTTCTTAAAACTGTTTCTGATAGACATTTGCACTATGTTTTACCACTGGACTGCAAGTAAGGCTAAAAATGACACTCAGGGAATCTTATTCCATAAACTGATTCTGCAAAGGAAAAGCACTTTAAAAGTCTAACTTTCCTCGAAGCCGGCTTTAGTACCGTTGTTCCCATTTTATTATAAATGTTTACAGACTACAAATACCTAATTTTTGTACCTCAATCTGTATAGACAGGGAGTTTGAGAGTCTGGAATTAAAGAGATGGATGCAGAAGAACCTGTATAACATGGCATCTTGCCTGTAAGAACATAGCTATTATGTGTTTGATTGCCTATCAGCCTAGAATTAATCATGGGGGTGGGGTGGGGTGGACTGTGACTCTTGTAAAATGTGGAAAAATGTGAAATCTAAAGAAAATAGAAATATAAAATATGTGCAGAAATATTAAGCTAAATAGCTACTAAATCTTTTGATTAAGTTTCCGCTAAGAGATAGCTAGAATAACCTGGATTCAGGCACACTATAACCAGACTATTCTTTGCATAATTATTCTATTTCCAGGCTGAACTGTAAGGAATTTTGCGAGACCATGTTCTCTCTAAAAGGACCTTGCTGTACAGGTAGACAAAATTTGGAATTTTTAATTTCAATAGTTTTGAATTTCTGTGCATGTCTGCATGAGTGGTTGGAACCCTACATGTAGATTACATCCCATAGTTTTGGTTCTGGGTCATATACACAAAAAGAAAGAAACTTAGCAATCAACGTTTCATAAGAATAGCCAATTTAGAGGGATTTATTGAGCAGTCTGTGCTACTCTTTTGCTATTAAATACAGGCCAAACCCCATTTTTGGGGGGTTTAGAACCCAAACCTTGCCCTTGTTGAGATCCACCTCCTTCACTCTGCAGTAATTTTTTATTTAATATAATGGGAAGAAGAGAGATCCCCTTTGCCAGCAAACAGATGTCCTCCAAAAGGATTTTACTAACTGATCAATTGCAAAATCCCTCACTGCAATCCCTTATAAAATAAGATGCCCTCTGTCCTTCCTCCCACCCCAAGCTTAGTTGCCAAAACTTACATACAAAATTATTACTGTAATGTTTTATAGTCACTGGGAAAAAAAATAATAATATCCATTTGGTCTTGCAGAATGATGTGAAATGAATCTCTGGCCTCAAAAGAAAAAAAAAGTCTATTAAAAGTAGCTC